ATTAATCTTCTCTTTTCTTTCTCTGCGTATTCTGCATTCGGATTCGTCCAATTCACAAACAAAACGAGCCATCTGATTTGCTGAATATCTCTCTTATTCTTTTACTATTAGAGCATGTAAACGAAAGAAATAAAGAAAAATACGATAGGAAGAAGAAGAGAAGAGAAGAGAAAAGAAGTGGAAGATTAACGTTGACGTCTAGTTGTTAATGTCGATTATACAGTAGCGTTATTGTTAGCTCGACGACGAACGATGATGAGTATGATATGATATGAAATGAATGTAAATGATAATAGTAGGGCTTGCTTAAGACATAGCAAGGCAAGGCAAAAAATCATCATTATCATCATCATCATTATTATTATTATTATCATGCAATAACTGACAGACAGACATAGAGAGAGAGCTTCATGTATCCATTTTTTTGCTTCTACTCATAGAAAAAGATTGTTGCAATCAAATCTCAGTTTGTATACGCATGACGGAAAAGTATTGTCGACAATGTTATAGTAGATTGCTTCTGATGGTCGTATGTATGTATATGTTGTTACTTACATTTGGCCGGGAGAGAACATCAATTTAGTAGACAAAATTACACATCATATTTCTTTCTTTCTCTCTTTCTTTCTATTTGTCTTACATGATTAATCAACCAATCTAACTTTACATTATAATTATTAAAAAGCAAATTACTTCGTTTAAATCATGATCAAATAAATACATATTATCATTAAAATAAAAGAAATATTCTATTCTCCTGCCGACATAATTCATATAAACATTGATCATCCCTAGGCAATCATCAACAATAATAACATAAAGAATGTTATTATTTCGTTAGTTGCAAGTCTATTTTGAAATAAATACTTAATATATTGTTATAATAATTAATAAAATAAAAGCTTTCCTTATTGAGTTTGTCAGGTTTTTCTTTTCTCTCTTGAGAATATTTAATAAAATTTTAACATTAGAATAGTCACGAACATTTTTTTTAATTTAATATTTATTATCATGCTTATATTTAGAATAGAGAAGAAGAAAAAAAGAAGAAAAAAAAAATGTTACAATTTATTTAATGAAAAAGAAAAGAAGAATCATTAACCGAATTTTTATTTTTATGTAAAAATGTTAAATGAAGAGAACAAATATGTAGATTTGACTCTATATAGTAATATGAATATGTTATAAACGTCTTATCATTTAACTTGATAGAATGTTAAATACTTTGGTTAAATGATATGCAATGCATTGAATATTATTTGATTTTGTTTTCAAGTCATTGATGTTTGAAAAAGATAATAGATAGTTAATAGAATATAATTATTAAATATGACTTGTTACATGTTTCGAATAAAAATTTTTTGCTGAATATCTTCTGAGATGCTTAATAATTTACAAGATAAATATGATATAATCATTGATTCTTAACGTAGAGATAAAATATGCTAGAAGAAATTTTGTTATTCATATATTGTATGAAGTTAAAGAGTCTATTAAATATGCTTCTTTTTTTCTTCTAAGATAATATATGAAAACATAACTTCGTGTGAAACTACAATCATTATAAAAAATTATTCTAGCATGCAAATATACTCTCAATATTAAATACTCTACGTTTTTCTTTTTATCTACTATATATCAATTTAGATCTTCAAAAATAACTACTCCTTCATCTTATATCATAAATAAAAATTTAATTTAAAGTTCATTAATTATAAGAATCGAATTCTCTTGAATATAGATAAAGAATTCATGACTTTTTTTTTATTAGTAAACCATCAAAAAAAATTTTCAATCGACATTTTGTCGATTATATAAATGAACATGAGAGAAAAAACGAACAACAACAGCAATAATAGCTAGACACATAACAACATACAGAAAATTAATTTTATTTCTATTTAAATTTGTTTTTTATTTTGTTACAAAAAAATAATAAACGAAAGAAATCTGAAATAAGCCAAGATATGACAAATAATATAAGATCATTTCTTCTTTCGTTTAGCAGGTGAACTATTTGATGCAGTTGTAAATGCATCAGGTTTACGTTTTTGATTACCATTAATCTAAATGATGATGAATAAAAACTAAAAAATTTATTATATAAAAACATGACAAACCTTTGCAACAGGTGTTGATTGAGAATTTTGTGATGCATTTAATGCATTTGTATTTTTAGATGATGTACGACCTTTTTTCTTTTCAGCTCGTTCACGTTCTTCAAGTTCTTGATTTTCTCGTTCAACAAAAGTAATCAATGTATTTAAACGTCGTTGTAATTCCTAAAACAAAATCAATTTAAAAATAAACAAAAAAATCAAATTATTTCAATAAAATACTAACAATTGATGTACGTGATTTAAGAAACCAATCAAAACGAAATTGTGGTGATTGACGTATAGCATAACGAAGTTCTTCATAAACATTTTCTTTATCAAATCCAAGTTTATGTAACATACAGAGTAGAAAACGATCTTCTTCTTCAGTATAATTCTTGCCTTTATTAGTATTATATTGAATACGTAATTGATGAAATGGTGCTTTGTAACGAGCCATCTAAATTAAAAATAGTAGACTTATTATAGTTACAATTTGTTTTTAGCTAATCACTATGAAACTACGCCTGAATCTGATAGCATTCACGAATCAATATGATATAGTTAAATTAAATGATTATCTTACTTTTGCATCAAGTGCTTTTTTAATACTAATTCTTCGATGTATTTTTGTTTCACCACGTTCAATTTGTGCCATAATACGTTCAACATCAGTTAATTCATGACATCGATCCCAAAAAACTCTTGCATAAGACATAACTTCATCAGGTGTTTTTCCTTCAACATCTCGACAAATAGCATCTAAATCATCTCGACCATATTTTTCATTTGCTTTAATAAATTGATTAAAATCTCGTTTTGTCCAATTACAAAAACCTTGTTGAAGTAATTGTTCTTTTTCATATTGTTCATCTTCATTTAATGATTCAGATTCATCAATTTTTTTTTGTTCTTCTTGTTGTTGTCGTTTACCTTCTTGTTCATCTAAATCAGGATCACGTACAGCTTTGTAACCAATTGATTTTCTATAGGCATAAATTTCTCGATCAAGTAATTCAAAAAGACGTGGAGGAAAAAATTGAAAATCTTGAACATTTGGTTGACGTGGTGGTCGAGGAGCTTTCGGTGCACGTGGTTCACTCATTCGTAATGCTTCACGAAAATAGGCATCAACTGCATAATTTGCTTTACGTTCTCGTTTAGGTGGCTATAGGTATCAAAGAATATATATATATATAGAAAAACAAAATCTTTGTTTTTTATTTACCTCAATCCATTTAATACCGAGAGTTGATGATTGTTTTTCTCGGTAATCTTCACCTTCAAATTTATAAATTGAACTACCACCAATATCAGTTCCATCACCGGATCCACTGGCATTTGGACCAGATAGATTTTCATTATCAATAGTAAATTTTCTTAATTGACCTTCACCCAATGTTTCAAATTTTTCTCTTAATTCTTTCGTTTTTCGTTCACCTTGTGCTAATATAAAATCAATATCAACATCCAATTCATTTTCATCTTGTTTCGATGAAAATACATGAGTTGCACCATGACGAATCATAGATAACATTTCATCTTTATCTAATTTCGTTGCCGCTTCCTGTAAACGACCTTGTTGAATAACAACATGATCAAGACGTAATTTCATTTCAGCTCGTTCAACAATACGTTCTTCAACAGTATGTTCAGTTATTAAACGAAATACACGAACCTAAAAAAATTAAGTTGAAAAATTCATATTAACTTTCTTTCAACATTATTTACCGTTTTCAATTGACCAATACGATGTGCTCGATCTGTAGCTTGTAAATCGACTTGTGGATTCCAATCACTATCATACAAAACAACGACATCAGCTGTTGCTAAATTAATACCTAAACCACCGGCACGTGTTGAAAGCATAAATACAAATTTCGTGCTATCTGGACTATTATATGCATCAATAGATGCTTGTCGATCTTCATGTGATGTTTGTCCATCCAATCGACAATATTCAAAATTTTTCCATATACAATAATCTTCTAATATATCTAACATACGTGTCATTTGACTAAATATTAATACACGTGAACCTTGTTCTTTAAGTTTAGTTAAAAGTTTATCTAAGATAACCATTTTTCCACAATTCTCAATTAAATGCTTATCGGTTGTATATGGTGGACCTGGTTCTGCCCCATCAAATATATCTTCAAAAAAACAAAATAATTAGAAAATTTTATATAAAAATAATATTGATCTTACATGGATGATTAGCACATTTTCGAAGTTGCATAAGAATATTTAATAAACGTATTTTATCAAGTTTTCCACTTACACTATTTAATATATCAATATCTTTCATTAGAATTTTTGTATACCATTGTCGTTGTAATGGTGCTAATCCAACATAAAGTTTTGTTTCAACTTTTGGTGGAAGTTTTTTTTCGACATCACTTTTTAAACGTCGTAATAAAAAATGGTTTTAATATTCCATGTAAACGTGTAACAAGATCTTTATCATCAGCTAAACATTTTTGTGTATCAAACCATGCATTAAAATCATCAGCTGAATCAAATACATCAGGTAGAAGAAAATTTAACAATGCCCATAATTCATGAAGATTATTTTGTAGTGGTGTACCAGTGATTAATAAACGATTTGTTGATTTAAGTAAACGTACCATTTTACTTAATTTTGATTGTTCATTTTTAATACGATGAGCTTCATCAATAACAACATAACTCCAATTATGTTTTTTCAAAAGAGCAGCTTCACGTAAAACAATTTCATAGGATGTTACAAGTACATCCCAACCACCAGGTTCAACTTCTTCATGAATTATACGCGTACGTTCTTCTGCAGAACCAATTAAACAAACACTATTTAATGATGGTACCCAACGTTTTAATTCATTCATCCAATTTCGTAATGTAGATTTAGGAGATATTACTAAATGTGGTACTGCTTTACGACATAGTTTCATGTAACCAAGTAAAGATATCGTTTGTAAAGTTTTGCCAAGACCCTTAAAAAATATCAAATTATTAGTTTTATATTCCAATTTTATAAGTGTTCATAACATCCGAATTTATATTTATATTCCTTCTACTACGTGTATGTCAGTTCGTCAACTCGATCCAAGGAAAGATTTTGCACAGATCTCACTTTATACGTTTCTATTCCATGTATAACACTAGTTCTTATGTCGCTTGTCGATGGGGACAAATGAATACTTAGAAAATGAACTCTATTTTTCATACCATTTCATCAGCAAGAATACCATTGATACCATTTTCATGTAATGATATCATCCAATTAAGACCACGAATTTGATAATCACGCATTTCTCCGCCTTTGACATCTAAATATATTCAGATCATTAAAGTTTAAAATGAAATATATTCGCTTTTATTTAGACTTACACCATGGTGATTGATCAAATCGAGTTATTGAATTTAATTTTTCAGCTTCTTTAGCATCACTTAATAATTCTGCGTCTTCTTCTTCTTCAGTCATTCGATGACGATGACTAATAAAAAATAAATAAAAGTTTTCATAAAACTTCTGTTTCTTTTTTGAAATTAAAAATACTTACTCTCCTGCTGAGCTATTAGTTGGTGTTGTCGGTTTTTTTTGCTGGTGTTTTCATTTTTAAAGGTGATGTTGATCCAGCACCTTTTGAATGTTTATTAAGTTGACCATCTTGAACGAAATGTGAAAAGATTTCTGTTTGTTCAAGTAAATAATTAAATCGTTTAACTTGATCTTCATTCTTAAATAAAAAAAGAATATATTGGTAAGAGACGAAAATTTATAGATGTTGTTTTTTTCAATTACCAATCGACTTTGAAAAGCAGGATCAAGAACTATTTCAGGTTTTTTAATTGGTTTCTTTTTTTTTGTTGTATATTCTTGATCAGAATCTTCTTCTCCATCTCCTTCAGGTAGTTCATCAACACCACCAAGTTCTTCTTCAAGTTCATCAGCATCTTTTTTTTTCTTCAAGTTTTTCTTTTTGTCGTTTTATAACTGCTGCACGTTTAGTAGGTGTAGTATTATCCGAATCACTCTTGTCATTTGCTGTATCCATTGGTTCTTCCGTGTCACTCATTGTTTATTAGTTGTGTCAATCTGAAATTATTAGAAACAGTATTGCAAATTTAATAATTTAATGAAGAATTTTGGATTAGAATGATTGCATACTAAATTTATTATAAGAATAAATACGTCCGACAGTTGACGAAGAAAGAAAAGACGAAATGTCTTTCTTGTTTATGAAGAAAGTATGAATGAATCATGATAACAAAGAAAGAATGGATGATGAAATGAGCGAGAATATAATGTGGATATGTATTGATTGTCGATAGATGTCGTATAGTACCGAGCAGTTGATGCAATGTTTATACTTTGAATAATTATTCGATTATTATGTTTTTAAAAGTGTTTTAAGGTATCTTATTTCTTTTACATAGTAATAACTTCGATGTTCCTAACTTTATAAATGAGTCACAATGACAAGAGAGATATTCAATGATAATCTGAATAATTGATCAACTTTGTAGATCATTCCAATAATCATTTATTGATTTCAAATTTTTGTAAATACTTATAATCTTTTAATTGCGCACATCCTCTACAGATATTACATGGTACATTATTATATCAAATGGAAAGTTGTTGGTAGATAATGTCGCATATATTACACGTTATTTAATTATTGCTGCTTATATAGTTTCTTTTATTTTTGTATTAATTTAACTAAATATGTCAACATTAACAGGTGTAGGTGTGGGTATGGGCAAGGATATTTTTTGTCTCGATCCACCCTTAATCTGACAATGATATTGAATTTATTTTATCGTGATTATCATACCATAATTCAGTATTTGAATCAAATATTAAATGAATCATGTATGAGAATTATTTTAAAATCATAGATGAATTATATAAATTACATTTTAAAGTTGATAAACAAAATATCCTTTATATGTGTTAAACATGATTTATCTACCGTAGTGAAAAAAATATGTTTCGAAAAAATGAAAATTTATTTTAGTTATTTCTCACTGATTGATAACTGGTGTTTATTGACTTTTGTCCAATAGTTGTTTGTTCAGATGTCATTATAAAATCTTTATGCATTCTTAAAATTTATTGAATAAAAATAATTCAATTTTTCTTAACCTTATTCAAAACATTTAAGTCAACGACAATGTTTACATTTATGTTGTATATCAAATCGGATATTACATCTACATTTAGTTGTATTTATACATGGAATTTACGAGATTTCTATGATAAAAATTATATTTTACGTGCAACAAAAATAAAACTAGAAGTACTTTCTTAGATAAATAGTTTTCATTTGACTAAAACTATTCATATTCGTCATTATTTTATATTAGAATATAGTTCAACAATTATTAATATAAAATTGGCGAGAAAAAAAGTAAGGACGTGTTCGTTTTTTCAATGTAATATGCACATTATAAGTGATTGACGATAGTAAGCTTTTATTCAGTGATCGATTTTTTTCTTTTTGTACGCGTTTGACTAGGTAAAAATGTTTTATGACATGGTGAAAATAATTCGTTCTTTTTTCTTCACTTTACAATTTGATTATGTTGTGCTCAGTTAACCCTTTCATTCAAATACTTTACCACTATGGCTGAACACTGAGTCAGACCGGGTTTCTGCCCAGAATTGAACCTAGTAATAGTCGTAGAGAAAATATGGGACCCCCTCGAAACTGTCACCGGACAGCGACCCATACTGTAAGGTAGCCGAAGGGTAGGATATTTTGTCTTTTTTTTCTTTCTCTTTTTCTTTCTATTTTGATATTTTTACAAGTTATATGGTGTGTTTTAAGCATGCGCTCAAATGACCTTTACTTGCTCTCGATAAGAATATGTAAACTCTTTCGATAATCGATGAGCTATATAACTTATTTTTAAATAAATTTTCGATTGAAGACCTTTTTAGGCGTTTATTCATGCGGATGAGAGTATATATAAAGTAATGCAAAAATGTGAAAAGAACTACTGAAAAAATTTTATTAACTAAGTTATGGATCAAATACAAGAAAAAGGTATTCTAAATTCAAAGTGAAATAAATATTCAATCTTTAATATAATAAAATTCTACTTTTTGCTAGTGTTGAAAAATCGACTGAAAAAGTAGATACGAAAAAAACTCTTTTTCAACGATTATTTTCTAAAAACAAAAAGAAAGATAAAGACGAAATTAAGTCTGTGTGCCTTCGAAGTTTGGTAAGAAAAATAAAAATAAAAACTATTTCATAAATACAGTTTAAAGTTTAGTTTCGTTATGCTACATGGATTGATTTTATTTTAATATCAATTATAGCTGCTACTGCTAATGGTGTTTCATTTCCATTATTAATGTTTGTATCTGCAAATGTTATTAATACATTTACTGATCATCCATTTGACTTATGTTCATTGAATTTAACAAATACATCTCTTCAATATTGTCCATTAGGTGTACAATTAACATCAACAAATTTTTATACATCATCATCTTAAATATCTATTTTTGGAAGAAATTTTGTTGTTTTTCTTCAAAACTTAATAATATAATTTGATTATGTAATTTAACTGATTTAAATATAGCAAACTCAATAGATTTTAAAGATCAAGTTCAAAAATAATCTTTACGCATAGTAGTCTTAGGTTGTTGTATGATTTTCAAGTATAGCAGCAGAAAGACAAACACGAATTATTCGACAGAAATTATTTCAATCAATTATTAATAAAGAAATCATTTATTTTGATATGAATAAAACTGGTCAATTAAGTATCAGATTAACAGATGATATTAATAAAATTCATGATGGTATTGGTGATAAACTTGCATTAGCAATACGATTTATTGCTTCATTTGTTTCTGGTTTTACTCTTAGTTGGTTCTTTTTGTTTTCTTTATTAATAAAAAAAAAGATAATATTTTCTTTTTTCTAGGTTTTTCTATAGGATGGAAATTAACCTTAGTTATTCTATTGATATCACCAGTAGTATTTATTTCAACTGCGATAATGTCCAAAGTTAGTTGATTAAAAGAATATTTTTAAAAACAAAAATATTAATCTATATAATTAGCTTACAACGAGTTTAACATCGATGGAATTAAAAGCTTATGGTAAAGCAGGTGCTGTAGCTGAAGAAGTACTTAGTTCAATTCGTATTGTTTTATCGTATAATGGACAAGAACGAGAAAAGAAAAGGTTTCTAAATAGATATTAAAATAAATCTAAACAAAGAAATATTTTTTTTAGGTATAAACAATATTTAAATGAAGCAAAAGAACGTGGAATAAGAAAAAGTGCAGCTAATGGTTTGAGCATGGGTGTTTCGTGGTTCATTGTTTATTGTTCAAATGCATTAGGTATATTATTTACTACTAAACTTGAATAAAATTTATTTATTTATTTAAAGAAAGGTTATTGGTATGGATCAGAATTAATTCAATATGGAGAATATGATATTGGAAAAGTTATGATTGTAAGTTAAATTCAATTTACATTTTCATTTTTTAGAATTTTGCATTATTAATATTATAGGTATTCATTACAATATTAGTATCTGTTTTTGATTTGAGACAAGCTAGTCCACATTTACAAGCATTAGATCAAGCTAGAAGTGCTGCATCATTTGTATGGAATATTATCGATGAAGTAAAATCTACTTTATTTGAACAAAAAAAATGAATTATTTTTATTTATTATCGACTAGCCATCAACAATTGATAATAATTTAGATGAAGGAATTAAAAAAAGTAATTTAATTGGTAATATTAAATTATTAAATTTTACATTTTCTTATCCATCACGTTCTAACATTGAAATATTAAAAATTATTTCACTTAATGTAAAACAAGGTGAAACAGTTGCATTAGTTGGTTCGTCTGGTTCAGGTAAATCAACATGTATTGAATTATTACAAAGATTTTATGATTTAAATTCTGGTTCAATATTAATTGATGATAATGTAATAAATAAATATAATTTAAAATGGTTAAGACAAAATCTAGGTGTTGTTAGTCAAGAACCAATTTTATTTCAGAGAACAATTCGTGAAAATATTGTATTGGGCTTTGATAAAGCGACCGATGAAGAAATTTATCAAGCAGCTAAAATGGCGAATGTACATGAATTTATTATGAATGTACCACAAGTAATTTATTTAATTCTATAGTATAAAATTCTATTTAATTTTTTGTCCAGCAATACAATACTTTAATAGGTGAACGTGGTGCGACATTGTCAGGTGGACAAAAACAAAGAATAGCAATTGCTCGTGCATTAATTGGAGATCCAAAAATTTTACTTCTTGATGAAGGTTTATTGTTTTTGTTTTTTAATTGTTTTATTATTTTTATATTTAGCTACTAGCGCACTTGATAATGAAAGTGAAATAATAGTTCAAGATGCTTTAGATCGTGCTTCTCAAGGTATTTCATTTTTAATTCTTTGATTTTATATTTTTATTAATAAATAAGGTCGAGCAACAATTGTTATGCAAAAAGGTGAAATAATTGAAGAGGGAAATCATGAATTATTAATGAATAATCAATCAGTTTATTATAATCTTATTCGAAAACAAAATTTACATAATACACAAGATAAAAGAAATTCTATTCCTAAAAAAGAAAATAAACAAAGAAAAATGAGTAATGTATCATTACAGTCTCTTAAAAATAATCAAAATAAAGAATTAGAAGAAATAATTGAAAAGAAAAAAGTAAGAAGAAATGTTTCATTACAATTGTTAAGAATGAATAAACCTGAATGGATATTTATTTTATTTGGATGTATTTGTAATGGTGTTATACAACTAACAATGGGAATTGTTCTGAGTAAATTAACTGCAGTATCTTTTCTTTTCTTTTCCATCATAATATTGATTTTTATTTATTCTAATAAAAAAAAAAAGGTTTTTCAAGAATGTGATAAAGATTTGAAAAATCGAAAAATTCTTCTTTATAATTTAATATTTATTGGATTTGGAATCATCCGTTTCATAGCAACATTTATTCAAGTAAATAAATTTAAAACAAAAGAAGAAGATAAATTTTATTAATTTAAGAATTTCTTCTTTGGTTGTTCTGGTGAAGCATTAACAAAACGTCTTCGTATAAAAACATTTGAAGCATTACTTCGTCAAGATATATCATATTTTGATGATCCAAATAACAATACAGGTGCATTATGTACACGTTTATCAACTGAAGCATCGGCTGTTCAAGGTGCGACTGGAATTCGATTTGGAATGTTACTACAAAGTTTTTGTTCACTTGTTGGTAGTCTTGTTATTGGTTTTATATTTTCTTGGCAATTAACATTACTTATTATGGCTTTTATTCCATTAATGATTGCAGGAGGTTTTCTTCAAAGTCGATTAATGACTGGTTTTGCAAGTAAAGATAAAAAAGCTTTAGAAAATGCTGGAAAGGTTTTTAGTTTTTCTATTATTTTATTTTTTTACTTAATTAAATTTTATATTTAGATCGCTGTAGAAACAATTCAAAATATTCGAACAGTTGTACAACTAACTAAAGAAGATTATTTTTATGAAGAATATTCGAAAGTGCTAGAAATTCCTTATCGGTAATAACAGTTCTATTTGTGGAACACGATTTAAAAGATGTTGAAGTATTTATGAATAGAAATTTACACTCACAAACGTGACCGATATAGTATCGTAGTTAGTTACACTCACTACTATTCCTGATCTAGAATAAGAACAAAACACAAAAAATTAACAAAGGTCAATGTTCATGTATTTTAACTGATGCCCTCTATATTGATCACTTAGTAATATTTGAATTATGGTCTATCTCAGAGTATTATTCTCTAATATCCATAGCATCATAGATATGACCATCGAACTCATACTGTTTAGGATAGATATGTCAGCAATTTCTTTTGTAACAACTATTAAAACGCTAACCAAGTGAGCTCATAATATATAAAGTAATCGTCTTGAAGATAGAAACAATAGTTAGGTCGTGTTTCATATTTTAATTCATTTTAAATCATCAATAAAACGAGCACATACTTTTGGATTTTTTTATGCTACAACAGCTTCTATTATATTCTTTGCTATGGCTGCATTATTTATAGTTGGTGCTTATCTTATAGATAAAAATAAAATTTCATTTGAAGATGTTTTAATGTAAGATGAATATGAATTTCTTTATTTCAAAATAAATTTTATTTATTTAGAGTTATGTATAGTGTCATGTTCAGTGCACAAAGTGTTGGTCAAACAGTTTCTTTGTAAAGAATTTCTTTTTTAAGTTTCGATTATGATTTACTTGTTTAAATAGAACACCGGATTACAATAAAGCAATAGATGCTGGAGAAAAAATTTTAGATTTATTAGATCGAAAATCTTTAATTGATAATACATCAAATAATGGTGAACAAATTGTATGTTATTATATTAAAATAAAGTATTTAAATTTGATATTTTTTGTTTCTAATAGGAAAACTTTAATGGAGAATTAGAATTTAATGGAATTGATTTGACATATCCAACTAGACCTGAGTCAAAAGTTTTGAAAGGTTTTAATTTAAAAATCAAATCTGGGCAAAGAATTGCACTAGTTGGTAATTATTTTCTTTTCTAAATGAATTAATAAATTAATAAATAAATACATGTAGGTACATTGGGTTGTGGAAAATCAACAATTATTCAATTAATAGAGCGTTTTTATGATATAAACGAAGGTCAACTCGTAAAATTCTCGTTTTTTTTTGAAATTTTTCTTAGTAATTATTTTGTATTTAGTTAATTGATTCAAAAGATATTCGAAATCTTAATTTACAATGGTATCGATCTCAAAGTATATTAATTAATTTCTTTCTTTTTTTTTACAAATAAAATTCTTTTTTTTATTTAGTTGGTATTGTTTTTCAAGAACCAATTTTATTTAATATGTCAATTAGAGAAAATATTTCTTATGGTGATAATAATCGTGATACTATTCCAATTGACGAGATTATTCAAGCAGCTGAAAAAGCAAATATTCATCAATTTATTGAACAACTTCCACAAGTATATTTATAAGAAAAAATTTCCTTTTTTTCTAAAGGGTTATGAAACAAATTGTGGTGCAAAAGGAACTCAATTATCAGGTGGAGAAAAACAAAGAATAGCAATTGCTCGTGCATTACTTAGAAATCCTAAGATTCTTTTACTTGATGAAGGTATTAATTAGAAATAACTAATTAGAAAATTATTTATTTTTATTTCTAGCAACAAGTGCTTTAGATAGTGAAAATGAAAAAATCGTTCAAGATGCATTAGATCAAGCTCAAATGAATCGAACATCAATAACAATTGCTCATCGTTTATCAACAATTCAAAATTCAGATGTTATTTGTGTTTTACATAATGGAAAAATTGTTGAATCTGGAAATCATCAAGAATTACTTCAACTTAAAGGTCGTTACTATCGATTAACATTACAAAAACTTGAATAGAGTCTTTTTTTTTCAATAATATTCACTTGTCTATAAACTGAAACTATTTTATTTTAATTCGTCAGAGTTTATGAAGTTTTACATTAGTCGAGGGTGGGTAGATGTGACTATGAGAGTATCATGATCAATTGCCACCCACACTCTATTCTTTCAAATTGGACAATAATTATTCAACCAATGAGTATTGTTCTACATGCTATGCGAGGACTAGTATTTCTACAAAATCATGGTAACATCAATAAAGAAAAATTCTTAAATTAGTAGATGAATACTTATCCACTCGTGTTACTTTCATCTTTGTCTGTATGACCTCCACTATCAGCATTTACTTCAATATTGCCCAGATCAGCAATATGTCGAACAGAATCTCTTGGCATCCCATGATACATCTAGTATAACAGATGAAGTGTAAAGATTATCTCTCTATTATAGTAAACTAAACTTACTGTATGGATTGAAATGAACATCACCAGTTGTACAATTATTATTGTTTTCAATGGACTCCGAATGAACATGAAAACCCTATAAGTAGAAATTAATCATATAAGGAATATCATCTCAAGACTATTGATGCTCAAATTAGTTCACCACCGAAAATCGTATTCGTTTACATTGAAAAACTAACTGTCTCCGATTGAATCGTAATAAGTCAAAATTACAAAAAAATCATAATAAAATGCTACACTTTAATGAAAGATATTGAACTGACACTTTATTCTTCAAAATATATACTTACTAATACTGCTAGAGGTCTTAGACGATTGACAAAACCAGTCATAATAACATTCCAGTCTACTTCCTACTCATATAAATTAATTGTTTCAATAAAAACATTTGTTCTTGCAAGTTACATCTCTCCATGAGCATGCATTGCATCACCTTGTCTTACAACAGCAACAATCAATATCAGAAATATAAAAATAAGTTTCATTATTAGTTATTCACAAATGTATGAAAATGTTGTGTGATAATATATAGGACTAAAATAGAATAGAAGAACAACGATTATGCAAAAATTCGTATCTCTTATCACATACAGAGCACTAAAAAAAGGCATGAGTTTAAATTCCTCACAATGACATGTTATTTTACATCACTGCTGATAACAAGATCTTTTCAAGGTTATAGAACGTTTCTACAAAGAGAAAAGATTATTTTTCTGAATCTAAATGTATGAAATGCTGTTTTATTTTAATAATATAACAAAAAATATAATAGAGCTGTAAGATTTTTATCTTCAGCTATGCATATAAGCCAAAGAAACGATAATAGATTGATTAGTGAAAAAACAACAAGATAAAACAGTTATAACTGAACTCCCTAGCAAAAACCTAACAATAAGTCTTTTCTAATGATTCCTTTTTTGAGTATTAAATTTAACTACAATATCATCACGACAATCATGCACAGAAAAGTCTTCATCATACGTAATTCTAACATTCCATTCAACCCAAAATCGTATGATTGCACAATCTTGCTCAGAATCATCCTCTTTAGTAGAACCAGTACATACAAATTCAAGTTTTAATAATCTTGGACAATATATTTACAATAACTATTTTCATTTTTTTTTGTATTTAATAAATGCGACCAACTCTACAAAAATAAATCCTTTATATTTGGTGTATATTTCAATATATATTCAACATACTCATACATCATATCATTTGATAAAGTGAGATGTAATCAAGTACATTTAAGCATCAAGGGTGTGGATGTAAGTATCTCTCCTGTATCTCCCTAACCCACACCCACTCCAACCATACACCCGCTCGTCTCGATCCATTTCATTTTCTTTTGTGCTTTATTTTTAGTTCGTGTTCAATTTTACATTTACAACGCCAACAAGCGCCTTTGATTTTATGAACGACATGCATCAATACGTATGAATACAGTTTTATAACATCTATTTATCTCTCCCAAATGGTATACCAAAGATTTATTCTTCTTCATGACATATGCATAGATACCGGACATACTTAATCCACATTCGACTCTCCATACTTTTCAAACAAAAAATAAGCGATTTCGTCTTTTTTTACTCTCGGTTCAATTATTTTTCTATTCTGTGTTACCTTTAATCCACATATTATCTCACATCGTTCAATTTTACATTTTTCGGTCATTCGTTTCACTTCATTGCTTTTTCTTCTCTGCTTTATTTTTATTTTATATCCCATTTTACTTCTAGAACGCTAAGAAATCCATTTGATTCTAGAAACGACATATATTAATACTTATCCAGACCGATTTTATATTATCCATTTGTTTCTCCTAAATGGTATACAAAAGATTTTATTCTTGCTCATGACATAGGCATAGATACCGGACATACTTAATCCACATTCGACTCTCCATACTTTTCAAACAAAAAATAAGCGATTTCGTCTTTTTTTACTCTCGGTTCAACTTTTTTTCTATTCTGTGTTACCTTTAATCCAAATATTATCTCACATTGTTGAACTTTACATTTTTTCGGTCGTTTGTCTCAGCTCATTACTTTTTCTTTCGTTCTTTATTTTTATTATATATTCAATTCTTTTCTGTTCTGTATTATCTTTTATCCTAATACTAGCTCATATCGTTGAATTTCACATTTTGTCGGTCGTTCGTTTCAGTCCATTGCCTTTTCTCTTGTGCTTTATTTTATGATATGTTCAATTTCACATTTACGACCCTTGGAAGTGCGTCTAATTCTCGAAACGACTTGTACTAATATGTGCAAAGACCAGTTTATAACATTCACTTGTATCTCCAGAATGATATAGGAAGATTTATTCTTCTTTATGAGATAGACATAGATACCGAACATACTTAATCCACACTCGACTCTCCATACTTTTCAAACAGCAATAACCGATTTCTTTTTTTACTCTCGGTTCAATTTCTTTCCTATTCTATGTTACCTTTAATCCACATATTATCTCACATCACTGAACTTTACATTTTTTCGGCCGTTCGTCTCAGCTCATTGCATTCTCTTTTGCACTTTCTTTTTATTATAAGTTCATTTTTTAATTTACGGCTCTTGGAAGTGCGTCTAATCCTCTCAGCGACTTGTATTAATATATCTAAAGACCAGTTTATAACCTCAATTTGTATCTCCACAATGCTATACGAAAGATTTACTCTTCTTCATGAGATAGACATAGATATCGGACATACTCAATCCACACTCAGCATTCGACACTTTTCAAATGAAAATAAGCCATCTGGTATTTTCTTTTCCATTTTTCTTCACGCTGCCTGAGAGTGAAGATGACGGCAGTTATCCCCTTCCATGTCGATGCGTACAATATAGATATGAAAGCCCCTCACTTTCCCCACAGCCACATTCTCATTCAGAAGATATCAACAATCGTAGACGCTGTAAACCATTCAATCTTTCCCTAAATCCAGCCAACACCATTGGCATTAAGATTCAGCCGCAACCCATTGTAAGTTACCCACACCCACACCCCATTACGCCAACAACCACTGTAAGTTATGGACACTGTCATCCACAATACACCAACAATCATGGACCCTTACAAATACCGGAACCCACATTCCGTCAAAAACCGCGGAACTTCATGGGTACCCGCACCCACGTTCTCCCAAGTACCGTTCAACTATACGAGCCCCCAAACCCATATTTCGCCAACAACGGCGAAACATTATGGCCACCCGCACCCATCTTCTACCAAGTACCGTTCAACTTTAAGGGCACCCGCACCAACATTCTACCAAGTACCGTTGAACCTGACGAATACCCAAACCCATATTCCGCCAACAGCCGCGGAATTTTTTGGGCAACCGCATTCACGTTCTACAAAGTGCCGTTGAACTTTAAGAGCACCCTAACCCATATTCCGCCAACGACCGCGGAACCTTATGTGCGAGCCAACCCATATTTTGCTAAGACCTGCGACAGTTTAGGGGCACCTGCACGCACGTTCTACCAAATTCCGTTGAACCTTACGAGCAACCAAACCCTTATTCCGCCAACGACCGCGGGACCTTATCACCACCCAAACTCATATTCCGCCAAGAACCGCGGAACTTTATGGGCACCCGAACCCCTACTTCGGCCACAAACGCTATACCTTACGTGCGCCCACACACACCCTCATTGTTCGGATCGTGGTATATATCTTTCCATGATCTTATTTCTCAAGTAAGTTAGGAGATTTTTGAACGCTATAGGAATACTTTTAGTAGAAGTTCTTTCATACTATATCGTGTATCTTCCAGTTTCCATGTCCGGATTCACTACTCCGAGGCCAAGTCGTACGACATCTTTTAAGGCTCGATTACTTGATAGAATTTGTTAAAAATCTGTATTAAGGAATTAATTAAGATCTCATGAAAAAAGTCTGAATTATTACGACTTTTTTAAGCATGTATTTAGTTAGTACTGAAAGATATTTAAATAAGAAAGAAAATATCTTTTGGTCATCAAAAGTGGCTACTACATAGTTAATCAAAAGTAGAATGATGAAGCATACATGACTTACTTTATTCGATCAGTTGAATTTATCCTAAGTTGTATTATAATCCAGTTTCATAACTTGAAGACCATCTGTAAATTTATACATTGCTCAATTCAGAAATTTAAATAAATCAGGTTAATATCCTCATGTGACTCGATCTGATTTGTCTTAGTACGACAAAGTATGTTTGGTTTCATGACTTGATCTGACCTGTGTCAGAAAATAATTGACTTGCCTACCTCTGCCTTTTGAGTGATGTTTTATTGACATTTGATCGAAACTAGAGAAGTGCGGAAGACACAATACAATGAGCGTTGTTGGACCTTTTGTTCAGGTATACAACCATTTTAGTAATTTATTCTTATCAATGGGAAGATCTAGTTTTGACTAAAAGATGAGATGTAAATGATTTCAAAATTTAAATGTATTCTTTCGTGAGCAATAAAATGAGTGTAATATCTTCAAATTAACTGATTGATTTCAATAGAAAATGTAATTCGTTAGATTATGATTGCCTTTTAAGTCTGT